TGCTGACGGCAAGTCTCATCGTCTAGCAAGTGAACCAACCCTGCGCCATCCACAACGAATGCATGATCCTCTCCATCATTCATCTCTTTTGTCTTCAATAATGCTTCGATATCGCTCAGTTCTTTCATCGCATTGGTTTTATTCGAACCCCTCACGATATGAAGCGTCATTTCCTTTGTCAAGAGTTGAGCCGCGAATCGAATGTTTAGGGCGGTCTCCAAGTTGTCGCCAGTCAAAACCCATACCTTGCATCCTCCTTCTCGAAGTGATGAGATGCTAGCTGGGACACCCTCCTGAAGTTTATCTTCAATGGCAGTAGCACCCAAGAGAATCAGCTCTCTTTCGATTTCATCAGAGACTGCGTCTATCTTATTTGAACGATCGTTCACAGAAGTTGCAGCAACTTGATATTTTACGGACCATGTATTGTATTGGGTTTCACTTAAAACTCGATACGCCAAAGTCAACGTTCTCAGACCTACAGAGCGACAGTCAACATTTACCCATCGCCTTGTGTGCTCACAAAGAAAACAAAAACCCAACTTACCATCGTTAGAAAATTCGACAATGTCATTCATTGTTCTTTCAACCATCACGTCCTGGCCTTCCGCTAGCCGTTCAATAATCACATTATCGGCTCCTTTGCAAAACAGAACGATGCCACCGCCCAACTCCGCAGGACGACGTGTTACTACGCTCATCCTTTTCCTGGTCGAATTGAACTCCAAAATGTTTAAAATTTCAAAAGTATATTCGTTCCCAAAAATGTCGATGGTCATCAAATCGGTGTTTCGCGAGAGAAATGTGAATCCCAGATTCTTAGCCGCCGACACCAAAGCCGACTCATCCGGAGATTCGGCCTTGTATACAATGTTACGAACAACAGTTTTATCAACAGGTGCAAGATTGGTCTGACTATTCGTAGACGACTTTCTTAAATTGGGAACCGAATTTATACTTTTAAGTGTTGGAATGATATCCTTGAGCGAATTCTTAATCTTTTCCACGGCTAAATCTATGACGGAATGATTGATTTCCGGATTCCTTTCCACATCCGTTTGTGACATATTCACAAAGCTCGTTGTCTCTGATGGACCTGTCACAGATACATCACCCCTATCACTACCACCACTAGCCGTGGCGTCTTGTGTATTCTCCCCACCGCTGGGGACCTCTTCTACCACGACCGTATGACAGACTGCCAATAGCGTGAAAAATTCCATAATTATATTTGTTTTATTCTTTTGAACATCAAACTCTGCATTGATTTCATCATCGCCGTCACCACCGCCGCCGCCATCACTATCATTACCACCACCATCGCCGGAACCCTCATCACTATTAATTCTCAAGTCTCGATATACTTCTGGATCCACGAATGTCAAAAGGTCTTTATTCGAGCTCGAATATTTCGGGTCGAAAACTTTTGACCTTTCCTCAAGATACTGCCTCCATATTTCTTCGTGATCCCGATTTTTCAGATTATCAACAGAAACAGTTTTCT